AAGGAGAAAATCCTTATTTTTTAAAAATTGGAAAAAATAGTTATTCTTTTAAAAAGTTCATTTATATAGGTTAGATTACTTAAATCCCTTAAAAATAATTAAGGAAATTTTTAGAAAATTTTTAATATTTACCTTAATTTATGAAAAAAAATCCTAGACTAAAATTTGTTTACAAAAAACATGAACTAATGGTAAAAATGATGATTTAACCCCCTTTTTTTCCCGGTTTACAGTATTATCTTGGTTCAATTAAAGTCTTATTATTTGATCATGATTTACAAATAAGTCACAAACTAAATTAAGTGATGATTTGGTCTTTTTCTCCCTGTAACATATGTTTTACCAATTTATTGTTGGCATGGGCATCTAGTCATTAATGAATTGACAAGTTGAATACGATGTGTTATATAATGTTATATTTAAGGTAAAATTTGATATACATCTCATCTGCTTATTTATAACTATGTATCCCTGTCATTAATAGAATCGATAAAATGTATGTTTCCAGGAAAAAAAAAATGGAAATTAGGTGATGAGATGAATATTTTGAACATCAGCTCTACCCATCACATATTATTCAAATCCATGGCCCAACTTAAATTAATATCAACATACCTAAAATACCATTTGGTTAAAGTTGGTCAAATCCTGGTCAAAGTCTAAAAAGTCAATAGAGCCACTTAACTGGGTATACCTAGCATACTCAGCTTATACCCTTAGCATACAAAAGGTCCAAAATCAGGGCTCTCATTGCATACACACGACGTACACTCATGTACGCCCAGTGTACGTTGGCTGAATGAAATCTTCCGTTTAAGGGTTGATTCCATTAATTATTTTCTTCCAAATGTAGATCTAGCCCCCAAATATCATCTTAAGGCATAAAGTTTCCAACTTTATGACTTTTCATGGCTAGGAAGTGTTCAAAACTAAAATCCCTAACTTTTTAACCCATTAAGGCATCACAACTCTTGCATGGAATGGATAGAAGGGCCAAGATCAGATGTTTATGGTTCATAATAGCTCCATAATGGATAAAGTTTCCAACTTTATCCATTAGAATGGTCCCAACAAACAACTTCTAGTCTTTAAGTCTCAAAGGGATCCAAAAGTGCATCCTTTTCAACTTAATCCATTAAGTCCAAGTCTCCAACCTTCATATCTGAATCAAAATGATGTTTAGATGGATAAAGCTTCCAACTTTATCCGTAACATGGTCATAACATTTCAAGATCTAAACTTTATGCACTTAACACGACCAAAAGCTCGTAACACCAAAAACTATCTAGATCTAACAATTGCATGATCAAGATTCAAACTTTATACCTCTAGAAGAGAGATCAAGGTGAACAAATTCAAGATCTACAAGCTCCAATGTGACCGACACTTATTCAATGATTTTCTTCTTCTCCAATGTGCACCAAGAACACTCCAAAGCACTTAAAAACACCTTATTTTTGCTCACAAGACTCAGTCTAGGGTTAGGGTTTCAAGAGAGGGTGTTGGAGAGGTGGAGGTTGAGAATGGAATGAGTTTGGGGAACTTAAGGAGCTTAAATAGGGCTCAAAGCATGAAAATAGGGTTTGGGCATTGATCGTGTACGAACTGCGTACTAGCGATGCCTTAGTTCACCTAGCGTACTCCCCGTACGCCCTGCGTACGCGACTAACCCAAAAATCATCCTAACTTCAAATAGTCGTTACTTCTTCATTTCAACTCCGTTTTCGACGTTCTTTATATCTACGAAAAGGTGTTGAAGAGCTCTACAGTATTATCTAAGTATCTTAAACTAAAAACTTCTTGAAAAAAAATCCTTATTTAAAGTAAAAACCCGACCTATGACTTTTCCCTTTCTACCATTCAACCCAAAAAACAATTCAAGGGTAAAATCTCTTAAATATCATTACCTCCTTCCACAATTACTAAACTTTGTCTTCTTAAGGCTCAAAACCTTACACAATCGACTTTTGGTCCATGGCTTAGAAATGGCACGAAAAATGATGTTACAAACTTGTAAACAATTTAATTGGTTTTGGGGATTAGTGTGTGTTTGACATGGAGTGCTAGGAAGCTTCTAGCTTCTAGTATTTGATAAAACTTTTTGTTTTATCATAATGTCATTATATGTATATTAATTTATTATTTAGTTCTAATCTTCTGATTACAAATAGATTGGTTTACTTATTCATGATTCCTAAATAAGATCACATGGTGTGTACTTTTCTATGGTTACAATCAAATAGGCTACAAAAATGAAATATCTCAAGTGCATTTTGGATTCGAAAAGAAGATCAATCACATTTTGGATTCTAGTAGAAGATCAAATGTATTTTGGATAAGATGAAATCTATTATATATTTATAGTATAAAACATTATGAAATCATTTTGATAGTATCACGATTCTTTGCTTTTTAATACAATCTGAAATCATTATATGGTAAATTCATATGTATCATAATTGTAAAAATCAAAATAACATGTATCATATGCGTATATAGCATAATCGTATGAATTCTTAAAGAATGTTATTGTAAAAATCCAATTTGGTATATTATAATAGAATGATATTGTAGATTGGTAATATTGATTATTTGCAACCAAATTTCAAGAATCCTTAAAAAATTTATCAAAATTATTAATTAACAAAATAATTCAAAATAAAAATATTCTTTCATAATGAATTATTTTATTATTATAGTTCCAATGTATTCTATTAGAGTAAATT